TTTTTTTTTTCTCATTTTTCCTGGGCAGTCATCACACACCTGTGTTCACTTTGGGGACACACGTTGTGCTCTATTATCATGGCATCTACATTTTTTAGAAGACTGAATTTTCAACAAAACTTATATAGACAAACAATGACAAACCAAAAGGACACTGGTACAGTCTCCTTTTGTCTTATCTATTTATCAGGTGAAGACACATTACCACTTCAGTTTCTCTAAGACCTTTAATTAACAAATTTATTGTCTTCAGCTTAAGGTACTTTTTTTTTTTTAACTGCAAGCAATTTTAATACAAAATGTGTCTTGTTTATAAAGAGTTCATTGGTAGAGCTTCGGTTTCTGCCTCAATTAAGACCAATTGAGATAATCACACACAACATGGTTGGAGCTATAAGAGGAACAGCAGCTAAAAAACAGGAGCCCCAGACTGCCCCTCTTTGAGGTCACTTGGTCAGTTGACTTTATTACGCACACAAAAAAAGACAGAAGCAGACAGGACTGGTGAACGAGTGTGCTGCTGAACTCTGTCAGAGAATGAGCAAGTGTTTTTCTGAGGCCCACATCTTCAGAATAGGCTCGTGGAATTCATTCTTCAGTTTGTGGGAAGTTGATCGACCATTTGAATAAATAGCAAAAAATGCCAGATAAACAAATCTGTAATTCACAATGCCACCAAGGATTCTCCCTCACCAAAGATCTGGGTCCTGGTGAGTACAGGAGTCATTGATGGCAAGGCTGAATAATTACAAATCAGTTTAAAATCCCAATGTTCTGACATTTTATGAACAGTTACATTTACCCATGAATTCTCACTTTTTTTTAAATAAAGGAAAATGTAAAATTTTATAGATTAAGTTAATCATTAATCTGTTTTCCTAAAAACAAATGAATTAGGAATTTATAAGCTTCAACAATGATGCTCTTATGCATAAAATAGTAAGAAATAGTAAAATTAAAAGGTAAGGGCTAGTCAGCCACTTTCCAATACAGTTACTCCAAACCAGGTTGCCTCTGGAAGTATAGAGGTCAAAACACATGGAATCACACTGTTTGGCTTTGTTTGCTATTTTGCAAGGTCTGTGGTGATGGATAGGTAACAGGGTAGGAGAGCGTATGGTACTCTTCCAATAACCTGTATGTAAGGCAAGCA